ATAAGTATATCTCTCAAACACTATGTTCAGCAAAGGAAGCCAGATATTAAAAACCTTAAAAATTTAAAAAGTGCATGCTGCATATTTCCACATGTATAATAAGTTGAAAAAGCAGATTAAATTAAACTGTGTTATTTAGTGATGCATGCTTGGTATAAAAACTATAAAGGAAAGCAAGGAAGTGATCACCACCAAAGACAGACTAATAGCTACTCTTGTGGGTACAAATGGGTGATGGATGGATGGTACTAAAGGACTTCCGGAGAACTGGCAGTATCATAGTTATTATCCTGGCCCATGGCTAACATGGTTCTTCTGCCAAATCATCAAGTTATACATTTCTATTTTGTGCATTCTTCTCAAATGTGTGTTGTATTTCACAGTAAAAAGCTTTAAAATATTAGGAAGAGTGCAGTCAACTCTTAATGTGAACCTGAATGTCTGCTTTCTCCTCTGCAAGTTTTTGTACTTTTCTACCTCTTTGTCTTTTCCTTCTTTTTGAGGAGATCTGACCTCTTTCCTCAAGTAATTTTTCTCGCAACTCATATAATTGACTTTTGAAAAATCATACTGCATTTTGAGGTGAAACTTGGCAACACAAACCCAAACTTAACTCCATGTAACTTTAACTCCCCACCCACCCCCACTACCAAACACCTCCTTAAACAAAATATAACAGCATTTTACAACTACAAGGTGGTTTTACCCTAAGGCCAAAATGTGGATAATTTGATATTACACTCTAAATTCTTTATTTCTTTTGTCTAATACAGTTAAGATCCTAAGCTGTCTGGATAAATAGGGGGGTACTAACCTAAGGCAACCCAGGCCAGCATTTAGGCAGTGATTGAGTGTGGTCATCTTGGTGACCAAAGCCAGCTTCTCACATTTCTTCTTGAAAAGCATGGTGCTGACATGTTTAATATCCTATGGCATTTCTTTTGGGCTCTGTAGACTGATGGAAAAGGTCCCTGTTAATGTCTGATGGCCAAGTTGAATAGCACAGCCTTGAGACCCTCCACTTCATAGCTCCAGTTAGGGTGGTGATTTCTCACCAAGTTGTTGCAGAAATACCGCTAGTCATATCCTGGCAGGATCCACACACCACCGGTTATAGGGAGAACACTTATGTGTGCCTGGATGGTTTTGGACAAATAAAGGGGAAATGTCACCCACAACTTCATAGGGAATGATAAATCAAAATCCAGCACACTACAGAAAAGAAAAAGATAAAGCTAAGGTTTGAAGTTTTTCTGGAAGAATTCCAAAAATGCATATTTCAAGGGAATGTCTCAGGGCAACCTTAAATAGACTGGTGACCTATAGATCAAAGACACTGTATTTTATTAGCCGTCTCCTGACCCAGCCAATCTAACTGTCCTTCCCTAACTGTTACATGCATCCAGATAAACCCTCCCCTGTCTGTCTTTACTTTCTGCCTCTGAGAATCACAAATCAACCCTGACAACATTTGGTTTCTCATCTTAAGGAATGTTGCTGGTACATTCTTTATGTGAAAGAGGCAATCCCAGGAAGGGGTATGAACCAGACTGAACAGTATCTTATTTCATCTGCACAGAACAAAAGAGTGTCTTTCGTTTTCCAATGCCTGCATGAGTCTAAGGACTTGAATGAAAGCAGACTGGCTGAGCTTAGTCCTAAGGATGGATACACGGTTGGCAGGGAAGAGGGGTTCTCTGGGGTCTGGGGGATAACTTTCCTTCCTCCATGATTGTTCTTATAATGGAGTCCTGTCTTGCTAAGGGGAGCAGTGACTGACAGGGTTATTTATCCTTGACTGCTTCCCCACACTGATCCCACGTTCTTTTTTTTTTTTTTTTTTTTTTTTTTTTTTTTGAGACAGAGTTTCACTCTTGTTGCCCAGGCTGGAGTGCAATGGCGCGATCTTGCTCACTGCAAACGCCACCTCCCAGGTTCGAGCAATTCTCCTGCCTCGGCCTCCCAAGGACCTGGGATTACAGGCATGCACCACCATGCCCAACTAATTTTGTATTTTTAGTAGAGATGGCATTTCACCATGTTGATCCCGAGTTCTATAGGTACAGTTGGGACATAATTATTTTAAAATATTATGAGTGTTTTTCGTAAGTTTACTTTAACCTGAGAATGTTGTGAAGTATCAAAGTGGCAGGCAGCCTGAAAGATGGCCCCCCAGTGATCTCTGGCTCCTGGTGTTCTCAGCCTTGTGGAATCCCCATCCCTGGAGTGCCTTGGGTCTATATAAAATATTGACAACATTGAAAGGATGTAATTTCTATGAGTAGGTTACATAAGATAGTGACTTCTATCTTGCGAACAGAAACACTTTCTGGCTGCCTTTGATAAAGCAAGCCACCATTCTGTAGAGGACCATGTGGTCAGGAACTAGGGGTGGCCTTGGGCCACCTGTCCCCATACCCCTGAAGGAAGCAAGGAACTGAGGAAGTCAGATGGCCCAGCAACCCTCAAGGAACCAAATCCTGCCAACAAACACTTGAGCTTGGAGGCAAACCCAGATGGGCCTTCGGATGAGACCCTAGCCCAGGCTGACATCTTGACTGCAGCTCTGTGATAGACGCTGAAGTTAGTCCTGGCCCATCTGTGCCTGGATTCCTGTCCCTCAGAAACCATGAGATAATAAATGTGTGTGGTTTTTAAGTTGCTAACTGTATCTTAGCACTGCATTATAAAGCAGTAGGTAATTAATACAGTATATTTCACTTAATAGTCACTAATTATTACAAAATATATTTCTGGATATATTTTATCATTTCAAAGATAATAGACTAACAAAATAATTAAACCGGATATGCTTTCACTGTATGTCACATTGTTTCAAAGTCAGTCATCTCCTTAGGGAATTATTTGTAAACTAACAGATCAGATAAGGGCAGGCATTAAGAGGCCTCTGTGGTCTAAAGTGTCACTCCTCTGAGACCTTCTGGAGTTCTGCATGAAGTACAAACTCTTTACTGTGACATTCATAATGTGACTCCAAACCACCTTCCCAAGATTCCTTCCCATCACACCACTCCTGACCACCCTTTCCACACTGCAGCCTGCCCTCCCCATCTGTCTTTTCTCCTGCTGCCCTTCTGGTGCTCTCCCTGCTTTTCTCTACCTCATATCTGCTGTGGAAAGCCCGCCTCCTCAAGACCACCCCTTCATGGGATTTCTTACAGGTCCCACATCCACCTCTAAGCCAGGTACTCTGTCTCTTCCCCCTTACACTCCAACAGCACTTTTGGCCTTGCTTAGGATATTTGCATGCTCTGCCCTTCATCCTGGTTTGCTCTCTGTCTCTTCTCTGATTCAGCCTCTTCTGACTTCCCATGTGAGACCAAAAGCTACATAAGGGCAGAAACTGTCCCTCATTCTTGGTGGCCCTTCCTACAACCTAGAACATCTCCTTCGGCATAATGAAGAGATGGTGACACAGTGTTTGCAGAGCTGAATTTCATGAAGGGCAGGTCATGATGTGGTGCAGCATTACCCAGATGGTGTTCACAGAAGTTCTACTAACAAGAGATTCTATGGCGAAAGTAGTGTGAGAAACCAAGTGCACTCTGTCCCTTTGCTCTGGTTTGGATAATTGTCCTCTCCAAATCTCATGTTGAAATTTGATCCAAATGTTGGAGGTGGAACCTAATGGAAGATGTTTGGGTCATGGCAGTGGATCCCTCATAGATAGATTAATGGCCTCCCTCAGGGGTGAGTTCTCACTCTGTTGGTTCCCAAGAGAGCTGGTGTTTAGAAAGAGCCTGGCACCTCCCCCTCTCTCTTCTGCTTCCTCTCTCACCACGTGTTCTCTTCACACACAGGCTCCTCTTCACTTTCTTTTTTTCTTTTATTTCTTTTTTTTTTTTTTTAAACAGATGGGGTTTCCCTTTGTTGCCCAGGCTGGTCTCAAATTCCTGGGCTCAAGTAATTCACCCACCTTGGCCTCCCAAAGTGCTGGGGTTACTGGAGTGAGCCACTGTGCCTGTCCCCCTTGCTTTCCATCATGAGTAGAAGCAGCCTGAAGCATATGCCAGTGCCATGCTTCCTGTACAGCCTGCAGAACTGCAGAGGCAAATAAACTCCTTTTCGTTATAAATCATGCAGCCTCAGGTATTTCTTTATAGCAACACTAAATGGACTAAGACACCCTCCATGAAGAGAAGAGCTGCCCTGGGCATTAGATGATTAAAGTCTCTAAGAAGCCCTGCAGTAAAGAAACAGGCATAGCCCAACATTCAGCTCTGGCTTTCTGTAATGTTGTGATTTGGGCAGAAGGTGTGGAAGCTGCCTACTTACCTCTCTACAGGATCCTTGCCCATGTAGAGGTCATCTCAGAGTGGATGCTGTGTGTTTTGTTTTGTTCTTTTCTCTCAGTAAGACTGTGAGTTTATCACACTTTATACTCATTTCCCTTGTTTAGTCGCAGGTGATTCCAGGGCGATTTCAATTGACGATGCTTTGAACAGATTCTCCTAAAAATACACAAATCCCGCTGTTAGGAGCTAAGCCACTTCTGTTGCATTTAGAACCATATTTGATAACTAGTTTGACATGGTGACTCCTGTCCTCAAGGGACTTTTTGCTCAAGAGTGCAGTGACTAAAGCGTTCAGATATTAGATGCCCACTTTTTCACCAGTCTTTGCCAGGTTTAATTCTATTTAATGGGTGTTGAATAAGCCTTTCCCATGTGTCAGGCACTATGCTAGATGCTTAGGGTACAAAATGTAATAATAAACTGTTCCTGCCCTAAAGAATGTCTCTTCTGACTCAGAGCATAACATATTATTTTAACATAATTCTGTGAGTGCTGAAACTCTGTTATCACCTGCACATAAGCAGGAGATGGGGAGGCACCAGTTGAAGGCGCTTAGCGGAGAGGAAAGGGAGAACCTGGGATGAGAGTTAGTTGAAAGATGCAGAAAAGTTACCCTGAGAATAAAGATAGCAGAAAGAAAATCTAATTTAACTTTTTTTTTTTTTTAAATACACTCTCTGCCAGCAACTCTTTCTGCAAGGTCCTAAGGGTTCTAAGATGAATACGGCCCACTCCCTCCCTTCCAGGACTTTAGCTGAGGTTGGTTGGAGCTGAAGTCGGGCAAGACTCATAGGAACGGATTAAGGGAGAGAGAATCCAGAGGCAACGTGAATTCCAAGTATAGGTAATATATCTAATTTTAATTTAAATAATCATGTCTTGTCTCTAAGCTTTATTGTCTTTTTTTTTTTTTTTTTTAAGAGCTAGCATCATTCGTCTGGGTGTCTTGAGCCTGTAGACTTGATAACTGCGAATTGAAGAATTTCTCTCTGGTCCCTGGTCACCTTTTCCCTGCTGGAAACACTGTCCCTCCCTTCTCTCCCTTCTTGTGCTTCACCTCCATGAAGGAAGGCATTAAAAGAAAGGAAAAGGAAAAGTGCTTGCCTCCCTGTGTGCTCATGGCAACTCTAATCCTAGGATCTGTTTTGGAGGACTTGCTGTAAAGCAATGGCAGTAGCCATGTCTGGAACCTATGTCCATGGCTGAAAAAGCCATAGGCTCTGCTGTCAGGAGACCCATGTTAGTTTTGTCTCTGCTATTCATTGATTGTGTGCACCTGGCATGTTAACTAAGGCTCTGTGTGTTTACCTAATCTTCAAGATGGGGTAAAAAGATATTCACAGGGCTGTGTGTGAATTAGTTCTTGTGCACTGAGCACACTGTCCAAAAGACTATTTCACGTGTAATTCCCTTCCTCTTTTTCTTTAAATCGAAAGGACACACTTGGTCTAAGGGTATATTTCAGCTCAGTCATGCTGCCACCAGGACCATGTAAAGCTGGATTTGTCTGCGCTAGTCTGTTTACACGTAAGCTCTTCCCTTCTCCTCTAAAGTGTAATTGTTATACCTAGTAGTTGGGAAAATTGTGTCATTGTGTTTGTACCTAAAACAGATGACTTAGTAATTTTTTTCCACTCCTTGGATTTATCTTCTCATTTTCTCTGGGTTGCCTTGAGAAAGACAAGGAGCTGGTGTTTATATTGGCGTGAAGGATTGAGAGAGAACATAAAAATGGGTGGGACATATATATGCAGTGATGGATGGAGACGTGAACACTTTTGGCTTAAAAATCAAATTTCCTTTGCTATTATACTCAGGCCAAGGAAGCACCAATTACTTCAGGTCTTTCCTGGAGTAATTAATTCACCTATAATGCCTTCCTCTCCTCCCTTCCTGTTGTCCCTTCCCAGTAGCTTGTTTTTCTTTATTCAAAGAACATATACTGAGGGCTCTTAGGGACACACACTGTACTAGGGGCAGAGCTCCCAGGAAAAGGCAGCAGGGGCAGGAGGAAATTGCAGGGAGAGGTGCACATGCACTCACAGCCCCCATCCTTGTCTGAGTCTGACACATCTGTCCTGGGTGGCTCTTGAGCAGCTCCACAGATGCAGTAATAAGAGAAAGGGGGCAGGAAAGGGCCCTGGGCTCCAAGGATCAAAAGGGGTAACTCAGAGAGGTGGAGTGAGTGGGCACAGGTCCCACAGGATGAACTGTGCAGAGAGGACTGGGGGGCAGCAGCAGAACAAGCCTGGCTGGTGGTGATGGGGACAGCCCGGGCCAATGGGGGTGACTCGTGGAAGAGTGGAGAGAAGCCAGCAGGTGCATGGCCGTCGGTGGGGCCTGCTCTCCTGACTCTTCTCCGCAGGTCTCACCCCTTTCGTTTTAGCTCCAGATAATGAGTTTCCATCACTTCGTTTAGGAAGGCACCAAATGGGTTGGGCCCTGTTTCGGGACTGGGGATGCAAACACAAGCAGGACCCCGTCACTGCTCCCAGGGAGCCCGCCACGTGGTGCTGCGGTTCCTGTTCAGGGCTGCGTAGCAGAATCACCCCGGGGAGCTTTTAAAACACACACCATCTGGAGATTCAGATTCAGCAGGACAGGGTGGGACTGCCATTTCCCTATCTGCTGGTGAACCTCGAGCTAATGAAAATAGAAAGAGAAGGACGAGGAGGTCAACACCCCTGTTTTCCAGGCACTGTGCTAAGTGCTTTATATAAGAGCAAGTGAAATATAGGAACAGCGGTGTGCTTCCGCTGGCTCATGCCAGCCCAGAGGGGTCAACTCTGTACCTTTCTTCTCAACTTGACATTCAGTGACATCACACTAGCACTTTGAAATGAGCCCTGGTGGGAGTATTACAGCATGGAAATTGACAAATGCTAAACACCGGGGCATTTTCCCCTCTAGAAAGCCAGTTGTTAAACATTTACCAGAACACCACTGCGTGTGTGTGTATGTTTCTTATTTAGTGTAATCTTCAAAATAAACCCAGATATGATCCATGGACTAACACCTGACAGCTTTGAAATCACTTTTAAATGTGTTGCCCTACTCTCGCAATACCCCGTGAGGTATCCTTGTCCCCGTTTTAAAGAAACATTGGCTCCAAGAGGTCACACGGCCAGGAAGGGACAGACCTGACATGAAAGCCCAAGCTTGCCTCCTATCAGCCCTCTTCCTGCTATGGCAGGCCCAGCAGGCAGATTTCTGGTTCTGAGCCAGGGTCCTCGTCACAAGGGCTGCAGGGACTAGGCCTGACCCCGTTCTCAGATGTCTGATAACAGGAAGTTTTCCCCAACATTGGGAGGTTTAGCTTAATAAATGAGTTTCCTGTTCTGCTTATTTGCGTACATTGAGTATTCTCATGCTATGTTTGGGCCTACATAGGCAGGCTTCCAGAGGCCTCCAATCCAGGGGCTTGCTTTTTCCAGGGGGATGTGCTGTGCCAGGGAAATGTGCCCTTGGCTGCCATGGAAAGAAGGGAATCTAGAACTTTTTAAAACCCGCCCCTTCAAGGTCTTGGCCAAGGCCATGGGAATTTCCAAATATTTCACTTGTCCCAATTGAGGTAGCAATGAGGACGCTTTGCTAGAACGAGGCTTAGAGATTTATGTCCCCATGGAAAATCCCCAGAAGTGAGGGAAACTCATTCTAAAATGTTGAAAATAGCAGCAAACTGAACCAGCCCTCGCAGATATCGCCTGCTGTGGAAACAGCGTGTCCTGAGGAAGAAGGCAAGACAAAATTTCTAATTTCCAGGGTCTCTCTCCCCATACTTTAGGTTTTGTCAGGACCTACTGGTATCTGTTGGGATAGACAACTGAATGAAAAGCTAGTCACGTCATGGAAAAATCACAGTGAAAGACCTTTTTAAGACAGAATTTTCCTTCATGGTTAAGGGTTTGGGCAGCTGGGGCTATTCCACTCACATGAATGCCCACTCTGATTACCGCACTCAGAATTCTTAGTTTGTCTCTTATACTCGGTCGCCACTACCTGGAATTTCCACAGAGGGTGTCAAAGGTGACCTCCCTTTCCTGTCTGAGGGATGGGCTCCCAGAGGGCACTAGATGGGAATAGTGGTTTGTATTGTTGAGGACCCCAGAGGTTTTAGAACGGAAGGACTCGACGCCCTGGGCTTGCTGATGGGAGGTGGATGATCCCTTACCAAGCTGTGGCCTCACACCCTCCTATGCTCCCGACCACCCCCAGCGCTTGCTTGACTCCAGTGTGAATCTTTCTTTTCTTTTGAATCCTAAACACATGTCCCCTGAAGTGTTTCAGACAGGCGGGATCAGCAGCCACCCTACCAGTGTTTGTGCGGAACCCCCAGAGCTGACACTGGTGACTGTGACACGTGACCTGGCACCCCCAGGTGGGTGGGCCCCAGGTGAGTCCACCTGGGCTCCAGCCAAGGAACCTGCCTCCAGAGGTCAGAGGTTGTGATGCACGGTGCCGACGGACTCAGAATTCCAGACTCGGGACACAAGGGAAGATGGAAGGCAACTGTGTAAAACAAAAAGGCAGCAGCAGGAAGGTCCCAGCGAAAGCAGATTCACTGGCCAGAATTCCCAAAAGCCTCTCTGCAGTGTGGTTCCCAGACCAGCAGCAGCAGCTCACTTGGGGACCTGTTAGAAATGAATCTGCCTGTCAGTGAGAGGCCCAGGGGTTCCTGTGCTTGACGGCACTGCACTAAACAAAGCTGAGCCTTTGCCAACTCCTCTAGGTCTCTACCCACTGGCTAAGACTCGGTCAAGGGCACATTTAGGGCTGGAGTATTATACAGTGAGCAGAAGATATTTGCAACTTAAAGAATAGTGTTAAGGAGCAGGGGAACACTGATTTTTTTCTCTTGTCTCTCTTGTATATTATATCATAATAGATCTGGACTCAGAAGAGATTTAAGTTTCAAACCTGGCTTTATCAGTTAGTGCTTGTGGGATCTCAACCAAGTCACCGACTTCTCTGAACATGCTTCCATATTTCTACAAAGGAAACAATAAGTGACTCTGCTGAGTTGAGCACTTGCAAGTACCAAGCAGTAAGTGTTTTACACCTATTTACTCATTTAATCCTCCTGACAACCCGTGTGGCACCTCTGATGTTATTACCCCCATTTGACAGGTGAGGACCTGAGGCATGGATGCTAATCAGCTTGCTGGAGATCACAGTCATGAGTGGCAGAGTGGGTCTCGAAACCAGGCAGCCTGGCTCTGGAGCCCACACTCCATCCACACACCATGCTGGGACCCCGTGGAGTGACCAGCAGACTGGTTGTGTGGGTTAGGTGGAACGGTGCATATATAGGAGCTGGGGTGCACACAGCCCAGCTCCTGACCCGTGCTGGGCCCTCAGTAAGTTACTACTTTCATTATTATACATGTGTAGATGAAAGTTGGGGGGGTAATAGTGATTTTCCCTAAGATGATGGAATTTTAGGTGCCTTTGCCTTTTCTTACCTGTATATTCCTGAAATCAACGTGTTCTGCTTTTGTCACAAGAAGAGAGGAAATAATTGTCCTTTTTTTTTGAAGCGGAGTCTTGCTCTGTCACCCAGGCTGGGGTGCAGTGGCGCAATCTCGGCTCACTGCAACCTCCACCTCCCGGGTTCACGCCATTCTCCTGCCTCAGCGTCCTGAGTAGCTGGGACTACAGGTGCCCGCCACCATGCCCGGCTAATTTTTTGTATTTTTTTTTAGTAGAGACGGGGTTTCACGGTGTTAGACCCTTGATATGGTTAGGCCTTGTGTCCCCACCCAAATCTCGTCTTGAATTATAATCCCCATAATTCTCATAATCCCCACATGTCAAAGGAGAGACCAGGTGGAGGTGATTGAATCCTGGGGGTAGCTCCCCCGTGCTGTTCTTGTGATAGTGAGTTCTCACGAGATCTGATGGTTTTATACGTGTTTGTTAGTTCCTCCTGAATTCCTTCTCATTCCTGCCGCCTTCTGAAGAAGGTGCCTTGCTTCCCCTTCGCCTTCTGCCATGATTGTAATTTTCCTGAGGCCTCCCCAGCCATGCTGAACTGTGAGTCAATTAAACCTCTTCCCTTTATAAATTACCCAGTCTTTATAGCAGTGTGAAAAGTGACTAATACACCCTTCCTGACTTGCTTATGTGACTTGCTCATGTGACTGGTTCATGTCCAGCACGAGGGAGGAAAGGATAGAAGCCTTTCAGAGCCTGAGCCAAGCTCCTCCTCATGGAAGCGCAGAGGACACTTACCCCATCTCTGAAAAAGCTGCCCACACCCCACCTCCACCCAGCCTTCCAGAAGCCACCGGGAATGATCCCCTCCCCAGCCCAGCCCCGGAATGACCCCCCCCCCCCCCACCGGACCACCTCCCCCAGCCCCCACCGGTCCACCCACCCTCCAGAAGCCACCGCGAATGACCCGTAGGAGGGGCGGAGTGTGCCACTTGCTAGCGAGCAGAACCTCTGGGGAGCGGGGTCATCTCTGTGTCTCTGTTTCAACTGCATTTAAGATGAACATTCTTAATGATAAACCTTTCCATGTGTAAAGAAGGGCGTGGAAAAATGGATGTACTGGAGACTCGGGTAATGAGTTTCTAAGTGTGGAAAATTTTCCCCCAAAGTGTTTCCAAATATAGAAAACTCACATAATAAATGATGAGGGCTCATAAACCTTTCTGGCAGCAGTTGTGGGGTCAGAACGAGGAAGAAGGAATTCCCAGCTCCCAGGGCCCCGCATCTCACACTGTCTTCTGGGCTACTGTGCAACCAATGGTTCCATATCTGTCCCTACCCAGGGGCTCCTTAGATGAATAATTGAAGTGAAATATCAAACGTATTACTGTTTTTTTTTTTAATGTCACTGATAAAGCCCCTAAAATAGACTGCATTTCTCCCAGCTCTTCTAAACCAGGAGTGTTTGGGAAGTGGAGAACGTCACTGGTGACATTGTTCCTTTCTCTTGTGTCTCTAAAGGGTTTTGTTGTTTTAGGTTTGTTAATGGTGGTCAAACATATGCCTCAGACATTTTTAACCTCCTGGTAGCCTACTGGACTCAACACACTGAAACCAGCCCTGGTTCTCTGCTGACTGCATTTACCAAGATTGAGGTCCTGTGATTGTCAGGTTGCTGCCAAAGCCAAAGCCCCGCCGCCCTACCTGCCCCCGCCACCCCGCTCCACCTGCCCCGCCCGGCCCCGCCGCCCTACCTGCCCACACCCCGCCGCCCACCTGCTCCGCCCCGCCCCGCCGCCCACCTGCCCCGCCCCGCCCCGCCGCCACAGCCTTCCCTGCGAACCATCTTTAACTTCTTGGCAGCTGTGATTCTCCTCATCCCTATGGGTGGAGGAAGCCATAGGGGTGCAGAAGATCAGGGGGTTGTGGAAACCTACATCATCTTCATGCTCCCCAAACCTTTCTTCCTTGAAGCAAGGAAGGGCCTAGCTCTGTCACAGAAAGGATACTCAAAGACATAACAGAAATGCCCAACCAAATGGAGACAATGAGTGAATGTGGTCACTGGGATCACAGCTGGCCCTAACAAGTCTATTCTAACTATTCTAACTCTGGTGAGCCCCCAAAGAATGAACGACCCCCTCAGAAGCTCCCAATATATCATTTCAAAAATCTTCAGAGTTCCCAGAGAAACCTTGGACCTTACACAGGTCTCCAGAACAAGGCAGGAGTTCTGGTCCTGTTCAGATAACCTTGTCAGAGCATCAGAGACACAGGCACTGTGTTGGATATGAGCACGTCCCTCTTGACCACCCTCTTCCCTCCTTTTATGAACAGAGAAAGTAGCTCTCATGTCCGGAGAGGCTACCAAGAAGCCCTGGGCACGTGTTTTGACTCAGAAAGTCCTAGAAGAGTAGAGAGAAAGGTCACCATGTTATTTTAAACCCAAACTTGATACTTGGATGTATTCATGGCCTGGCATACAAGAGTTGAGAAATAACTCCCCACTCCACTTGTCACGGCTCAAGGCCTCACCCATGTATCAGTCTGAGGTTTGGGATCTACGTTTTGAGATAGACTAAAGTACCCAAAGAGATCCCAAGAAGACGGAAAACTATGATATAAAAAGAAAGGATGAAGATTAAGCCTACGCATTCAAAGTTCTTGTGACCCGTGGACAAAAATAAAAATAAAACCCATGCAGAAGGCTTAAATGTGTTGTGATTCCTAAGCTTGGGAAGAAAAAGCCACAGGATGATAAAATCTCTGCGTTTAAGTAAAAGAAGGAGACTGGTTATCTGAAGAGTGCTGATCTGTTTTCTATTGTCAGCTAATTCAGTGATTTTATTGCCACTCTCCCCTGAGTTTCTATCATAGGCAGTGTAGGCATTGAATCAGAGAATCTTCTAAGGAAAGACTCGGAGAGTTCAGTTCAGGGGAGTGATGCCGAGGGACAGAGTTATCTCCATGGCTCATGCAAACAAGGCTTCTCAGGTGTTAGTGGTACTTTTTAAGCCTACCCAGTGACAACACATGGTGGAGAATCAGGGTTCCGTTCTAGAGAGGAAGCTTGAAAGACATGTTGGCTGAGAGAAAAGTAAGGAAATACATCATCTCCAGGTTACTTAATGATATAGTTTGGCTGTGTCCCCACTCTAAATCTCATCTTGAATTCCCATGTGTTGTGAGAGGGACCCGGTGGAGGTAATTGAATCATGGGGGCAAATCTTGCCCATGCTGTTCTTGTGATAGTGAATAGGTGTCATGAGATCTGATGGTTTCATAAAAAGGAATTTCTCTCTACAAGCTTTCTCTCTTTATCTGCTGCCATCCATGTAAGAAATGACATGCTCCTCCTGGCCTTCTTCCATGATTGTGAGTCCTCTCCAGCCATGTGGCACTATAAGTCCGTTAAACCTCTTTCTTTTGTAAATTGTCCATTCTTGGGTATGTCTTTATCAGCAGCATGAAAACAGACTAATACAGTAAATTTTTGGTACCAGTAGAGTGTGGCACTGCTGAAAAGATACCCCAAAATGTGGAAAGGACTTTGGAACTGGGCAATGGGGAGAGAGGCTAGAACAGTTTGGAGGGCTCAGAAGAAGACAGGAAAATGTGGGAAAGTTTGGAACCTCCTAGAGACTTGTTGAATGGCTTTGACCAAAATGCTGATAACGATATGACAATGAAATCCAGGCTGAGGTGATCTCAGATGGAGAGGAAGAACTTGTTGCGAACTGGAGCAAAGGTGACTCTTGTTATGTTTTAGCAAAGCAACTGGTGACATTTTGCCCCTGCCCTAAAGACTTGTGAAACTTTGAACTTGAGAGTATCTGGTGAAATAAATTTCTTTTTTTTTTTTCTTTCTTTTTTCTTTTTCTTTTTTTTTTTTTGAGACCAAGTCTTGCTCTGTCGCCAGGCTGGAGTGCCATGGCATGATCTTGGCTCACTGCAACCTCTGGCAGAAGAAATTTCTAAGCAGCAAAGCATTCAAGAGGTGACTTGGATGCTGTTAAAGGCATTGAGTTTTAAAAGGGAATCAGGGGCGGGTCAGTGTATCAGCAGGGGGGGGGGGGATCAAGTAGGATCGACAGTGAAGTTCTAAAAAAAAAAAATTAGCGGCGGTTGGGCGCTGTAGTCAGTATCAGGAGTGAGAGGAGGGGAAGAGGCGGGGAGTGAGGAGACGCCATGATCAGCTGGCAAAGGAGACGTCAAAAAAAAAAAAAAAAAAAAAAAAAAAGGGAATCAGAGCATAAGTTCAGAAAATTTGCAGCCTGACAATGCGATAGAAAAGAAAATCCCATTTTCTGAGGAGAGATTCATGCTGGCTGCAGAAATTTGCATAAGTAATGAGGAACCGAATGTTAATCCCCAAGACAATGGGGAATGTCTCCAGGGCATGTCAGAGGTCTTCACAGCAGCATCTTCTATCACCCACCCGGAGTCCTAGGAGGAAAAAGTGGGTTTGTAGACTGGGCCCAGTGTCCCCGTGCTGTGTGCAGCCTAAGGACTTGGTGCCCTGCGTCCCAGCTGCTCCAGCTATGGCTGAAAGGGGCCAACATAGAGCTTGGCCCATGGCTTCAGAGACTGCAAGCCCCAGCCCTTGGCAGCTTCCATGTGGTGTTGAGCCTGCGAGTGCACAGAAATCAAGAACTGGGGTTTGGGAACCTCCACCTAGATTTCAGAAGATGTATGGAAGTGCCTGGATGCTCAGGCAGAAATTTGCTGCAGGGGTGGGACCCCATGGAGAATCTCTGGTAGGGCAGTGCGGAAGGGAAATGTGGGGTCAGAGTCCCCACACAGAGTCCCTCCTGGGGTTGTAAGAGGGCCACCATCCTCCAGCCCCCAGAATGGTAGATCCACCAATAAC